TACTGCTACTGCTACTGCTACTGCTACTGTTACTGCTATGTCCATTATAGACACACATGGTTTGCTCATATACTAACTATCTACAGCGCTACATTTACTATGCTATTCACGATTGCAAGCGCTGGTTAGCAAAGTTCGGTGGGTACGCGTGCTGGTTCTGTTTCTATGGTTATTGTTGCCATGGCAACCTAGTTGCTGTTTTCCTCCGAAGCGCACGTCCGTAGACGAGAGACACGCTTTCTGGCAAACTTCGGCACGCGTACTGTGCCTTTATAACATTCCATTAGGAACTTTGTCCAAATGCTTTATCAAGCAAGAACGCAGCAACCGCGTTGTGCATTCATACTACACTTATTATTTGCTCCTTTAATGTTTTCATCGTTTTAATGTTTTCATCGTTCAACTAAGCGCTCCGGAACTCGGATGTTTTTTTTAAACGCTGCTCGGCAAGTCTCGCATATAGTACCGACCTGGTGAGTGCGTCTGCCACAGGTTTGATTCCGACGCTATATTCGTTGGCATGGCAACTGAGTCGACTTTTCTATAGCTCTACCTGTGTAGCCCCGTCTGTCCCCCTGTCTGTTCCGCAACATACCCTATTGTGGAGCGTATAATTATAGAGTAAACATACTACCAGGAGTTAATAATGACAAATTTGTCATTATTAACTCCTGATACTACGGAGAACTAGTTAGCAGCTCTGCAGATCTAGTTGGTTGCTCCTATGTAGCCCTTCGCTGACCAGGATCCGTCGTTGAGTGTATATAGTGCATGACTCCATCTACGTAAACCTATATATAGCTGCCCGACGGTCAGCGATAGATCGGTATAAGTAACATTGAGTAACTATAACATCTGACGCTGATGGCAAGCTAACAAACATCGCACTAGAAAGTCGCTTTAGACTTTTCTGACCTAAAACTCGCCACGTAAGCCTCTTAGTCACATTACTGAAACACATCTGCGGTCTCTGTAGGAGAATTAGCAGGCTCCAAAATGAGCGATAGTACGTGTTACAAGCGTGAAGCCATCATCGCAAATCTCTCCGCGTCATAGAGCGTGATTTGCCTCAGGGTTTGTAGTTACAAAGAACTTGCCGCGGTTGGGAAATTGCGCCGGGTAGTTTTATTATAAACACATCAAACATGTACGCGTGCGTACATCATAAATCTCACGATAAGAGCGTTTTCGCCTTCTCTCGCTCTCTCGCGCGCTCTCTCTTTTTCTTCTTCTCCTCTCTTTGACTTTTTCTTTTTCTCTGTCTCCTTTCTCGCTCTCATTTCTCTCCCTTTCTTTGGGCTCGCAGGCGCTCTCCCTTATCCCACTCACTGCATCTTTCTCACTTTCTCTCACTTTCTATTCTCGTCCTCTCCCTTTTCCCACACTCTCCTCCCCCCTCTCTCTCTCTGTACGAGATACGCCACGTCGGTAATCATAGCGGTGTTACGATTACGAAACAAAACACGTCGCGTGCAATGCATCACGTACAGGTATGCACGCATGCACGGATACGCACGCATGTACGGACACACGCACGCATACGCGAACGTCCGGGCCACGCACGAACGCACGCACCGTGGCGCCCGAATCGTTACGCGTTTCAAGACGTCGATCGATGCCACCGCCGCCGCCGCGCGTGCGTGCGTTGCCGTGTGTGGTGCGTGTGTGTGCGTGCGTGCGTAACGTGCGGCGTGTGTTGTTCGTGCGTGCGTGGCGTGCGTGCGTGCTGTGCCCGGTCAGGCGTCTCTGCAGCGTTAATCATATTGTGTGTTGCCCAGCTTTGAACATGATCGATGAGCTTTCGGCAAGACACCTGCCGCGCAATGCGACCGCCTGTGTGGTGTGTGTTGTGTGTGTGTGTGGCGCGGTTGCGCTTGCTGCGCGTGTGCGTGTGCGTGTGGTTGTGCGTGTTAGCGTGTGCGTGTTGCGTATGCGCGCGAGCTGCGACGCCGCGCGCGCGTGTTTGTGTGTGTACGCCGCGCGTTTTGAGTGCGTGCTGTGGGCGTCGTGTGTGGCTGTGCGTTGTGTGTGTGCGTGTGCGCTGTGTCGTGCGTGCGTGTGCGTGCGTGTGTGCGTGCGGTGTGTTGCGCTGTTGCGTGCGCGTGTGTGCGTCGTTCACACGATCAGCGAGACGTCCTGCCATGAATGAGAGCCGCAGGAGGGTAGAGTGGAGGGGGGGTTGAGAGGAGGGGGAAGCCGGGAGCGTAAACGCATGTCACACGACTGTTGGAGCAACGCACTAGCGTTAGTGGACATTTACTTATAGATTCACTCCTCTCGGTCGGATCATAGTTAGTCCGACAGCGGCTGCGCTGTAAGCGAGCTGGGCTTAATCTACTTGCGTAGCAGTGTCGTCGCATTTAGATGATTATACGTTAATCATGATAACACAGTTAAACTAAGCGCTACACGTGAATGGACTGAAACTACTTTCTTAGAACGTTGTAACGTTACTATGCTGATTAGACGTTTAGTCTTGGAACCGTGGTTAGCGCTACACGTGAATGGATTGAAAACTACTTTCTTAGGAATGTTGTAACGTTACTATGCTGATTAGACGTTAAATCTTGGAAAACTAAGCGCTACACGTGAATTAACTGAAACTACTTAGAAACGTTGTATAAAGTCACATATGGCTGATTAGCTTTAAACCATGGAATAATCTGAAAGAGCAGTAGAAGAATAGACTGACGCACTAATTTGAATTAGGCCCTATAAGGAATATTGCTATAAGCTATATAGAAACGTTATAGCGTAGTCTGGTGACGATCCTATGGTGATCATAGTCCCATGGTAGTTGCAAGTTTAACCCACGAGTGAGCTGGATTGAGCCAGCATTAATCTACATGATAATCCTGCCGACCACGGTTAGTCTGCGAGTAATAGAAGTGCCCCAGTGAAATGAACTACTTAGTCATTCTCATTTGCGTTTGGTTATAATCCTGTAATAGCGATTGCATTGAACGGAAAGTATTTAGGTTAACGCGACGAACGGATCTCAGTTGAAGATGATTTTTTTGGATCTTGTGTGTTAATCGGAAGTTTGATATTGTAATTGTAGTTACTGCTATGCTAATCACATATAACGTAATACTCATGCATTTGACTATTTATAAGGTTCTTGACTATTAATTTTGACTATTAATATATTTGAAATTTTATATTATTAATCAATTGATATAATAACTCGTAGATAATGATAAGCACTCGTGATATATTAATTAGATGAGAATGTATAACCTACATCATCGTTGAATAATATGCTGAGGAATATATTAATGAGTTAATTATGTAATCGTGATAACGCGGATGTACGTTCACAGAGATGTCAGACATCTCAGACAGAACATACACAGCGTGCCACCAAGAGCACGCACCACGCACACACTGCGGCGCACACACGCACACACGCTGCCGAACACGCGACAGTAGCACACACGGCACGCCGCACGCGCGCACACACTACGGCGACACACACGCAGCACACCGGCACACGCACGCCACGCACTCGCACGCCACTCGCACGCACACAACACGCACACCATACGCGAACATGGACGTGATTAATGCAGTCAGGCAATGCAACTAGATTACTTCTCA